AAAAGAGCTTTTGGGGTTTATTTTGCAGCTGTTAACACAAGAGCAAAATGGAGAAAAAGAAGAAGCATGACTGATAGATATTGCATATGTCTGGACAAATTAAAATAAAAATTTCATCAATGATTACCAACTAATTGATATGTTCTTAAAGGGATACTCCACCGTTTTTTCATATTATACTATGTTATGCCCTTAACTAAGACGAGTTGATGCCTACCTCTGTCGTCTCAGTGCGTGCACTTGATCTCTCTGGCGTGCGAGACACTTTGATAGCACTTAACTAGCCCAGTTCATACCATATGGGCCAAGGAGAGAAGCGACCGACCACCTCCACGTTTTCCTTATTTAAATACAGTTACTCAAGCAGAGTAACTCGCCTAAGACTGGTGCAACAAAATAAAATGTGGCGCTTATCTAAGGGTGTAAATTGTATTACTATAACGTATGGTGGAATACTATAGCAAGTGCTTGGGAGCCCTTCGACTTGGCGCATATATATCTATGGACTCGGTGCAGTAATATCATCACTCTAGGAGAGGGAAAGGACTTTTCATGAGTGATGATATTAGATATAAATGCGCTGAGTCAAACTTGCTGTGGTATTCCACCATACATTATAGTTATCCACTTTACACGCTTAGAAAAGCGTTTTATTTTGTGTCACCAGTCTTGGTCGAGTTACACTGATCGTTACTGTGTTTAAATAGGGAAAACGTGGAGGTGTTTGGTCGCTTCTCTGCTTGAGAGATCGAGTGCACGCACTGAGACGAGAGAGGTAATCATCAACTCGCCTTAGCTAAGGGAATAACATAGTTTAATATGGAAAAAACGGTGGAGTATCCCTTTAACACGGCAAATCAGAGATCCAGGATGTAGGTAGTTTTATAAAGAACCATCCCTTAAACTTCTTTATTAAAACATTATTGGTGACTAACATGATGTAGCTTTAATTGTTCAAACCAAAATACTGAGGTGTTGACTAAACATATACGTATGTGCATGACAAACATATTTTGCATAGCTAAAGACTAGGGGTGTAGCGATTTGAATACACGTATTTGTATTGAAACGTTGAGTATGAGGCTTTAGGTTTGGTTATCGGTATGCATTTTTAAACCAATCGATGCGCTGTTTTGTTTTATATGCTCCTAAGAAACGTCAAGGAAAACAATAATGTTAGTTTTAATAAAAATATAATTTAAAAAAATAAATCCTGGAATTTTTTCTGGAAAAAAATCTGTACAAATCAAAATGTAATTATTTATAATCAATCATTATTATGGCAATATATATATTTTTTGTCAATATGTTATGGCAAATCAGGCATACAGGATGACTGTTAGATTGATACTTACAACAACCAGATGGTAATCGACACTGAAAAAAAAAGAGTACATATTTATTTTCATGGCATTGTAATCAGAGCCTTGACTTTGGATTTATACCATCTCAAAATGCACAAGGATTAAAAGAATGCTGAGTGCATTGCATCTGATGAGACACCAGCAGACTAACAGATAAGAGCCTTCTCAAGTCTCTGAAGCCTGCAGCCGTACTTCAGTGAAGCCCCTTCCACACAGAGATTATGGAAAATACACGGATAAAATGACCCGGGATTTTACCTGGGTTCATGTGATTTTGGTTCACGCTTGTGCATTTTTTTTCTCTGATTTGATCAGAAACGCTGCCAAACGATCCACGAGCTGTGTGAAAGGGGCTTGAGTGTGTTTCTTTTCCTCTGTTGTTTCCAATTTCTCCTCCTGTCCCATTTCTCACAGGTTGTTCTGCCCTGGACATGCCATCAGTGGAGGAGGAAACAGGGGAAAGGAAGCATGAGAGAGAAAGACAGATGAGAGAGAGACATAGCAGAGCATGTGTTGCCCACTCAGAGCTGTAGAAATTGTGTTTTCATAGCTTTTGATTTTGAATTATGTGTTTTATTGATCAAGTTTGAGTCATTGATGATGTTTTTCTCTCCATCATTTTTCTTACTTTTAGTTGGTGTGTTTGGTTTCTTTTTTATTGTTATAAACTGGTTAGGTAGTGTTCTAGTGTAGAAACTGAATAATCAAATGTAAAATAAATTATGTAAAATGTAAAAAAACAGTATAAATTAAATATTAATCATCATTTACAAAAGGCTATAAGTTATTTAGTCAAGAGGAGCGTACGGCTCTTCTCATTCAGCACTGCGGGGAAAATATAATTTCCAGGTTCTAATTTGGCCTCAGAAAACCCAACCCGATCTCACGACCAAGTCGTACGAATTCGACGAATGATTAAAAAGTGGCTAATTCGTAACAATTCATATGACCTCACTCGTACGAATTAATACGATTTTGCTAAATCGTACATATTTTACGAATTGGCCAATTCGTACGAATGACCTACCCCTGACCACGCCCCTAAACTTAACCATCACGTGGGTTTAGACAAATCGTACGAATTAGTACAAGTGAGGTTGTACGAATTAGTACGAATTAGACACTTTTTAATCATGCGTCGAATTCGTACGAATTGGTTGTGAGATAGTGTTGGAAAACCAGTAAAATATTTTTTTTTAATATTAATTTGTCAAATATTTAAATGTTTAAAGAGGCAAAAAAAAAAAAATCAAACAAATATCTGAAAATTCGTCGATATAGCCTATATATAGCCTATATATTTTTGCGCAGCATTTGGCATAGGCCTACAGTTCAAATGAACATTTTGGTTTTCAACTTTGCGTTTTACAAAATACAACAACCGTTCATTTTTCATTTTGCAATTAGGCCAACGAATTAAATAAGGGGAAACGAATGAACACAAAATAGACAGACCGTTTGGACATAATACGAGGCTGAGTTCTTTTTTAAAATTCATAAAAGATACAAGGAATAGCCTACTAGACAAAACCTCAAAGAAATGCCACAATCAAGACCTCGGATCAGAAATGAGGGGGAACTCTGTCTCTTTTGGCTAACACGCACGTAATAAATAAATAATAATCTAATGCGGTGGCTGTGATAGACTCCAACGTCCGTTGCCATTATTTTTGGAATGACTTATCGCGAAAGAAAAAAAAGATGTTTTAGTCGCATAACATCGTTAATGGAAACGCTGTCATTTCACAATATTTTTTTATTGACATTCAGAAAAAACGCAAAAGTTTTGTGCAAATATGTATTGACGCCACTTAACCGAGCAAAAAGGTTTCGGTTATGCAATTTTAAACGGTTAATCGGTTAACCGGTTAAACATGGACACTAATATAAAATGAAATGTGCATCTTGCTTCAGATCATAACGTTCCATAACACCGATAAACTCCGCCTTTTACCTTGAGCACGCCTCTAGCACGAGGTATTCGACGGGCCAGAAATCCTGGCCGTTGGCCCCGAGGAAGCCCCGATCAAGCCCCGGAAGTGACAGTGGAAACGCGACTGGCCCTGGCACGCACTAGCACGGCCGGCCCTGGCCCGGCAGTGGAAACATGGCTATTGTAACTGTAAGGAGGCGGCCTACGAACTCCTGAGTGAGTCTTGAAACTGACTTCTGCTGATGAAATGGCAAACTATGTTCAGTAAACATTTCTTTAATTTTTTTATAATTCTGACTCCGGGTCTTCATTCTTCATATCTGGTTCTGGGTCCTTAAACTGTTAACGCGTAACAACACGAAACGAGCGGTTTGTGTGAGAAAATGAACAGTATTTATATCGTTTTTACCTCTTGTAACCACAGCCACGTCCAAGTGATCTGAAGGCACGGGCGCTTCGGTCTGCACAAGCGCTGGAAGAGATCTCTTACGCGGTTGCGAAAAAAAATCAACGTTGTCTGTTGATAAATCGAAATCGTTTTCCATTGCAATTTCCTGTATATCTAAATATGTTTAGATCTTCACAGTAAAGGGTAACACAGAGTACTGGATGTGACTGTGATTACAAGAGGTAAGAATGATATAAATACTGTTCTTTTTCTCACATAAAAAAACGTTCGTTTCGTGTCTTCGGCCATCAATGTGTACTTACATTTACGAGTCATCATGTTTAATTTGGACTTCTCTGCGCATGCTCTTTGAGGTGGACCCCAAATATCTCCATTATATGACTGACAGACAAGTTGGTTTGACCTAAAAATATCAAAATTGAAAATAGTGTGGAAACAAAGACACCTGCATCTTGGATGCCCTTGAAGTAAGCTAAAACATATCAAAAATTCATTTCAAAGTGAACTATCCCTTTAATTAAGCATTTTGGGCATGAACATGTAAATAGTAAAACGATTGACATTGAAAAATGACACTGATTGATTACAATATTTAATCCAAATAAATAAATGTTTGTGTTTCCTACTGACATTATCTGTTCTCACACATTTCAGCGTCGCAGTCATTAGTGTAGACGAACACTGACACCCTGTGGTGAAATAATGGCGTATTACAGCAGCTTTCTCGGATTGGCTTGTTTTGGATTTGAACTTCATGAAAATTCTGCACACGGTAAACATCAGAATATCCCTTCTTATGTCAATAAAAAATTTCTAAATATAAAATCTTATTATAGACACTCATTTTAGGTGGCGTTTGTTCAACTCATTGACTGCAGTACATTGAAAGTAAACATAACCGAAAGTGGTATTGTTTCCACACGGAAGATCGTGAAGTTCAGTGCTAGCGGTCCATTATATTTTATATATGCGTAATCTAGGATTTAAATACATTTTCCACTTTTCCTGATATGTCACCAAATTATCTTAACACATTTTGAATGGTTGTTCTCTTAATAATCATGTCAAACCCTAAATTATTCTGACTTTAAATAAAAAAAACATTGTTATAAAATAATACTAGAAATATTGCTTTTTTTATTATGAAGTGAAAGGACAAGGTGAGATGTTTTATGTAGAAACATTAGAATAGAAAACAATACATTTTCCCTGCTGTGAACAATGTAGGCAATGAGAAGAGTTCAGCTTCAGTCTCACGCGCATTCGAAAATGACGTCATAAAAGAAGTTGAGCGTTGTCATGGTTCTTTGTGTTGTGTTTGTCAGCTAGTTCAGCCTTGTGAAACAAACACATACAGTCAGTCTTCGTTGTTTGTTTTGCAGTTTATTTGATAAAGTTACCCAACTGGACAACTGTTATCATGGCACAGAACAAGAGAAAGCCCCTCGCTCAGTGTGACTGCCCATCAACATCCAGAACTGACGCACCGAGAAATGAGAGAAGTGCTGAGGGTAAGTTAATCAAATGACCAAAATCCATCAACACGACCACGCATTATACCATAATTAAACTTAAGTTTTTTTCTTTTAATTCCAAGACATGTCTTAAATATTAGGGGTGGGGGAAATCGATACAGCATAGTAACGTTAGGCATATCGCGATATTTTCTGAGGCAATACTGTAAAATTATCTGTTTTACTTTACGATTTTCTTCATTGGTTTCTCTATTTTTCACTGCTTGAGAACATAGGTTGAATCCGAAATCGCCCCCTAAACAATCACTCACTAAGTTAGGCTTATTCCCTAATTAGTCCACTGTTCGCTTGAAGGAGTGAATGAAAACGAGTGAGTGAATCCGGACAGCCGTTGAGCGTTGTGGGCTAGTTACACGTTAATGAAGTCCAATGCAGGACAGAAACGCGATCTGACACGCGTCCCATTTTCTCACAAATGTTCATTTAAGACTTTATTTAAATCATTTTAGACAGCTCTTATGAGGACATTTGACAAAACGGACGTTTTGGCATAATTTGTGTGTAATGATTTGCTCAAGCCCGAACACCGGTAACACCGACTATCTAGCAATCCTGGAGCTCAACATTCATGTGAGAGGTCTCCTATTCAGAGAATAATTAGCAGCTACGTCCTGTCCTGTGTCCTGAATGTTCAAGAACAAGTTTTTGCACTTCAGTTGAAGATAATGTTTACAGAATTAAATGTGACATTTAATTGAAATGAGTTGAGCAGTCTTATTTTGCTTATTTTTTGTGATGTCTTTGAATAACATGGGGAACATGAATCACAATATATTGCTTGTATGACAATATATATTGAGAATCGCAATAATATTGAATTGTGGCCCAAATATCACGATACTATCAAATCGTCACATAGTTGCCAATTCCCACCCCTATTAAATATCTAAACAAGTTTTGTAAAAAAACAAAACAAAACTACAATTGTACAATACAATTTGGTTTACTGCCATATCTCAAATATTACTCTCCCTGCTGTCCATGCTTGGCATTTCTTGTGAACTATAACCATTAATCTTTTAACAGACGACATTCTAAGCCGGTTTAAAATCGGCAGAATGCTTGGTGAGGGAGGATTCGGCAAGGTTTATAAAGGGAAGCGCTTGGAGGATGGTCTTGAGGTATAGTCACTTCTTACATTTATCAATTTAGCAAATTCTTTTTTTTCGTCTCACTATCCATTTCAAGTTCTTTTAGAGTATGTTATGTTCACTAGGCTATGTGGTGCAATTTACATGTTTGTAAATGTAATTGTAATGGGGTAAATGTTTTGTTTTGTTGATTAGGTGGCAGTGAAATATGTCAAAAAGTCAAAGAGCATGGAATACGTCAGAATTGTAAGTTTGATCATGAAAACAAAATTTTTCCAAAACTGGACAAACATTTTTTATTCTAAAATCTTTATAAAAATCCTCCAACCAACAATGATCTTTCTTCCAGCCTGGTCATCCTACACCCGTCCCATTAGAGGTCGGCCTGTTAAAATATGTTAATAGGGACCCCAAAGTTAAAGAGATCATTGAACTGCTGGACTGGCAGGACCAGCCTGACCAATATATCATGGTCTTGGAGCGTCCCCCAGACTGCGAAGATGTGTTTGTTTTTTGGGATAATCGCAAACGCATTCTCTGTGAGGAAACGGCACGGACTATCATGGCGCAGGCAACAACGGCTGCTCAGACGTGCTGTGACCGAAGAGTTTTCCACAGCGACATCAAGTTACAAAACCTGCTGATCAACAAAAAAACACTTGAGGTCAAACTGATTGACTTCGGGTGCGGGAGATTCCTGAAAGAGTCCGCCTATTACGACTTCCGTGGTATGTATTATGAATCAAGGTTTGAAAAGAGTTTTTATTTTTTAAATTTAGATGAATATGTTCTCACTAAATATGTCGCCTCACGCCTGGTTTGGCCATGGATTGGCCATGGATTGATCTCACTTTTAAAACTCCAGAATTGTGAATAAAAACAAATAAATTATTAATTTAATCTAATGGATACAGAATGTGTTGATACACGGGGCAACTTTTTTGAGCAATGTTGCAGAGCGATGTTCCTTGGGCGCTTTCTCATTGAGAATGGGCAACAAATTTCTATCTGGATACTTTAGATCGGTCATGGGCCCAGTATCTCACCTGGTTTCCTGTTAACGGCAACATTGCTCAATAAGTTGCCCCGTGTATCGTCACCTAGAGATGCACAAGGATTTCAAACTTAACCATCAGACAAATCTCTTTCTAGGCACAAGAAGGTACTGTCCACCTGAGTTCCACACAAGGGGCAAGTACCACGCTAAACCAGCTACTGTGTGGTCTCTGGGAGTGCTCTTATTCGTAATGTTGTTTGGACGCTATCCAGAACCCGAAGACCATCTGATGATTAATGATGACATGTGGTCTGAGTGTCGCTTGTCAAAAGGTAAAATTGCATTCATTATAAAAAAGATGATCAATTATAATTTCAAATCACCAAAATAGAACAAATGAAACAAAGAAGTAACAGTAACACCAAAACCAGAAAGCTTCATAAAATATGGCTGTTACCAATTCCAGTTTTTTTTTAACCGTACAGTATAGCGTAGTCTAATCTCACATCTTAATAGAAAACAGCAGGTGTAAAGTTTAAGGTCTCTTCACAGATTGCCGCGACCTGATTCGACGCCTCCTGCGGGAAAACCCCAAGTGAGCGGATTGGTTTGGAGGAAATCATTTCCCATAAATGGTTTAAGGTAATGACCCTAATAAGCTAGAAATTAATTTGGATTTAGAGGTGGAACTTGAAAAATTAGAATATCATGCAAAAGTTCATTTATTTCAGTAATTCAACTTAAAAGGTCAAACTAATATATGATAGAGAGACACATTACATGCAAAGTGTGATATTTCAAGCCTTTATTTGTTATAATTGTGCTGATTATGGCGTACAGTTATGAAAACCTTTTCACAATATTCTAACTGAATTTGGGGTTTCATCCATAATCATCACAATGATAACAAATAAAGGCTTGAAATGTCTCACTTTGCGTGTTATGAGTCTCTATGGCCTCGTTTACACTGCATGGTTCAAGTGACCCAAATCCGATTTTTTTCCTCTCATGTGGCACAGATCGGATATGACCTGTGAACGTGTAAGCAGGAAAAAACGCATGGATTCCGATTTTTCTCAGATCAGATTCAGGCCTCATTCATATGTGGTAATAAATCGGATATGAATCGGATACGTGCATTTACTTGTGCCATGTAAGCAGACAAATCGGATATTCCCCAGGAAATGCGAGACGTACGTCATTAAAAAGTGCGCGATTATAGGCGCGATGGAAGAAAGGATACACACAGTGGAGCAATGCGGAGGTTTCATGTCGTTTGAGTGTTTTGGGCGATGAGTGCAGGCAAAAATGCAGGGTTGTTACAGAAATAAATCTGTATTTGAAGACATTTCACGAGATAAATGAGGCATCGTTTTAAGTGCTCGCTACAGTGCCTCTCCTCTTATTCTCCGGCGTACGAGACCAATGTTTTGATGACTTTTCAAAATATTGTGGAAAGAAAAACACTGGATAATTTTATTCGCATCTGCATCCATTGAAATGTGTGCTGTTTTGCTTAATTTCCCGGGTCAGAACGTCTGCATTTGGTAGTTTCAGCAGTGTATAGTGTAAATGCAAAAATCGGATATGGGTCACTTTTAAAAGATGATGTAAGCGGGTTGTCAATAAAATCAGATATAGTCAGAAAATCGGATTTGGGCATCAAGACCTGCAGTGTAAATGCAGCCTATAACAAATTATTTTTACCCTCGCTCAGGTGTGCGACTCCCCCTCAACATCCAGAACCAACGCGGCTACTGCACCGAGAAATGAGAAAAGTGCTGTGGGTAAGTTAAATCAAATGACCATTACAAATCCATCCACACCACCACACATTATACCATAATTAAACTTTAATTCCAAGACATGTCTTAAAGGGTTAGTTCACCCAAAAATGAAAATTCTGTCAGTATTTACTCACCCTCATGTTTTTTCAACCCCGTAAGACCTTCGTTCATCTTCGGAACACAAATTAAGATATTTAAGATATTAAGATCGCTCCTGCATACAGTCCATAGGCTTCTTGAGGTACTGGCTCTTGCTGTCCCCGAAAAGTCATTAAAGACATCGTTAAAATAGTCCAAGTGACTACAGGGGCTCGATCTTAAGTTTATCAAACGACGAGAACACTTTTGTGCGCAAAAAAACAACAAAAATAACGACGTTATTTCAACTATTCACTTCCTTCTCCATGAGCCTGTAAGTCAGTTAACGTAGTGTGATTGCGTAGAGCTACGTCACACGTAGGCTCACTATTGGCCGACGCTGGTCATGTGTGTGTGATGCGTGTGACGTACAATAACAGAAGCCTACGCTATTAAACTAGTAACCTGACTCGCGCAGAGGGATAAATAAACAATAGTTGAAATAAAGTCGTTATTTTTTGTTGTTTTTTTGCACAAAAGTGTTTCGTCGTTTGATAAACTTAAGATTGAGCCCCTGTAGTCACTTGGACTATTTTAACGATGTCTTAAATGACTTTTCGAGGACAGCAAGAGCCAGTCCCTCAAGAAGCCTATGGACTGTATGCAGGAGCGATCTTAATATCTTAAATATCTTAATTTGTGTTCCGAAGATGAACGAAGGTCTTACGGGGTTGGAACAACTGAGGGTGAGTAAATACTGACAGAATTTCATTTTTGGGTGAAC